ACTCCCACCAGGGGCGTGGCAATATTGTTCGAAAAATGTAGGTTTTGAGAAAAACAACATTTTTATTTCAACTTTGCAAACGCTGTAGCGGCTAAACTGTTTGAACGAGGTAAGTCAACTAAAAAGCATTAGTTAGATAATTTGAACAGCTTTCAGGAAAGCCTTCAACCTTCTTTCTTTTCTTACTAGGGGCGTGGCAATAGTGTTCACAAACAATGTAGTTGTTTGAGAAATATCACATCTGATCGCTGTTGGGAATTATGGTGTTAACTGCATCATTGAAAGACAACCATCTGACCCTTGATGAATTGTTCTTCTCAGAGTGGTACAAGATAAGTATCTTGTATGAGCAAAGACAGGTGCGAATTCCTTCTTCTATGTCTACGTTTTGATGATAGAGCAGTTCGCTTACAACGGCAAAAAAACGATCATTTTACCCCCATAAGAGATATATGGGAAATGCTTATTGTCCAGTGCGCCAAAACTRCGTTCCCGGAACAAATGTTACTGTTGATGAGCAGCTACTGGCTTTCCGCGGCAGGTGCAAGTTCAGAATGTATATACCAAATAAACCCGCCAAGTATGGGGTCGAGAGTACTTCGTAAAGGAACTTGCTCGTAGTATTCACGGCACGAACAGAAACGTTACCGTGGACAATTGGCTTACCTCAATATCACTAGCAAAGCAATTACTTCAGCAGCCTTATAAGCTGACAACTGTAGGAGCATTACGTTCTAATAAAAGGGAAATTCCAGAAGAAATGAAGAACAAGAAAAGGAGTAAGAGGAATAATCAAACCACCGAAGTCAATACATCCAGAAAGGTGAATACATCGATGTTCGTGTATGATGGACCCCTTACACTTCTTTCCTTCAAACCTAAACCATCAAAAATGGTTTACATGCTTTCCTCTTGTGATGAGGAAGCCTCAGTTAATCCAGGTAATAAAAAACCACGCATGATAGAGTTCTACAATTCTACAAAAGGTTGCGTTGACACATTTGATCAAATGTGCTCTGTAATGGCATGCAGCAGAAAAACCAATCGATGGTAAATGTGCGTTTTCTATGGAATGATGAATATAGCATGCATTAACAGCTACATACTTTATTGCCACAATGCCTCGGTACAGGGTGAAAAAATATTGCCTAGGCCTGATTTTATGAAGAAGCTGCATTCGCAACTTGTAGAACCTTGGCTGAAAATCCGACAGGAAATTCGTACCATGCCGTCCCACGCCAAAAACAAAATAACAGAGATATTATTTCCCAATAATGATGAAAGTCAAGGTCAAAGCCAACCATCAGCCACCAATGACCTTCAACCAGCAGAGGCACTAACTAGTAATAAAAGGAAAGCTTGCGGTCTATGTTCCTATAAAAAAAGGCGCATGAAAAAGTCGGTATTCGCAAAATGTAACACTGCAATTTGTGGTGAGCATAAAGCTGATTTTTGTATAAAATGCTCTTTAAAAAATTAGTTTTTATATCTTATTCAAAATATTTATAGTGTTTTTATTAAAGTGCGCCAAAGAAGAAATGGCTGTTTTGTGTTTCTCTATTTTAAGTTTTTTTTTTTATAAATATGTTGTCTTCTCGGATCTTATTAAAACTAGTGTCTTAATTAAAGATGTGTTCAACAAATACAATTTGAAATAGAATATAAAATGAATGTTTTATTTTGTACAATAGTTACTGAAATACATATATTTGCAATTAAAATAATTAAAGATTGTTTAAATGCATGAAATAAAGCCACTCTAACAATGCTCGTCGAATCGGCGAATGGTTAGGGTTTATAAGGGGCTAGTGAAGGTTAGCTTTCTAGGGTTAATGAAAAGTGGATTGCAGCACAACAAATCGAAAACGAATCTCGGCAGTTGCCAGAARACGTCTCTAACATTTGTGGAAATGTCAACCCAAGAGCAAAGGAAATAAGACAAGCGTTCGTTTCGTATTTCGGTGAGTTATTACATTCAACTTTGAAATATTATTAAATCTCAACCGATCCATACTTACATATTTCATAACTCAATTCCAATACAAAAAAACAGATATTTTTATATTTTATATATGTTACATATATATTTTCGTATTCATTCACATATTTTTATTTATTCTTCATTTTCGTATTCATTTATTCATTTATATATACATGTATTTTATATATGACATATATATTTTCATTTTGTTTAACATATATATTTAAATGCATTTTCCGTTCAACATTTGTCTTATACAAGTATCTTACACTAAAACTAAAAAAAAAATTTAAATCTAATTTTGGCGACTAAGTAAGTCCATGAAAGCGTCCTTCACTTCTTTTGAATCGCTAATGTATTCTTGTAGGAGAGAAAGGCGCTTTTCATCGGCTTCCTTCATCGCCTCAGTCGCCTTTAATAAGTCGTTCTTAATTTCCTCCATAATTGTTTTTGATTTTTTCTTTTTGGCAGAATCGATTGACGATGGCCGAGCGCAACAATGCGGCGTAGAAGGTCCATCGTTTGGGCTTGGGAGCGTCGACTCTCCTTCTACATCGGCCTCAATGTAAATCGCATCAATGTTAACTGAAAATAGAGAAACAAATAAAAGTGTAAAGAAACATTCCATAAACGTATTTTATTTTATTATGAATATTGGAACCTACTCAATGCACTTAAAACTTACCATCAATACTATCCTCCATAACTTTTAAAACCGCCTAGCGGCGGTGGACCACCTCATAATATTTCCACCGACTAGGGCAGCCACCCGA